AGGGAATGACTTTGTCCGAGAAGACCTGAATATTCGTGTGGAGCGACAGACCAGGTAGCTTCCACACAGCATTACGCAACCGATGAAAAGATAATCCCGCTTGACTGATTCGGAGTGAGACCTCTGCTGTTAAACTGGAGCCAGTCATAAGCACACTACCCAGGTATGGGAAACTCTCCACTCTCTCCACAACTGCCCCATCACCAATTGGAAGTTGTGGGGGTGGAGTGTCCGATGGTACAAAATACCCAGGCAGGTGCTTAGTTTTGGTGGGGCTGATGGTAAGTCCCCACCTCTTAGTGACAAGCTCCAGGTCCAGCAGCAGTACCTCCAACTCCTCCTCTGAGTGAGCAGCAATTACCAGATCATCGGCAATAGGGAGCCATCCCTTGACCGCACATCCCATTGTATATGTACCAGATGGAAATTCCTCTGGTACAGCTATTGAAGGCTTCACGAACTACGTGGTTAAAATAGATGTTAAATAATGTGGGAGCCAGAGGACATCCCTGTCGCACCCAAAGGTATATAGGAAATGACTCCGATTCCCGGTCACGTAGTGTTATCTGGGCCTGCTCACCATCATGAAGGTCCTTAATGATCGTGAGCAGAGGGTTAGGGACTCCGAAACCATGAAGACCAACCCAGGCCTACTCATGGTTTCATAGGCCTTGACCAGGTCAATGAAGCAGAGATGTAGGTCTTGTTGGAATTCCCTACACCTCTGCTGTTGCAGACGGACAGGAAATATGGCATCTCTGCAGGACCGCCCTTTCCTGAAAACGCATTGGGGCTCCACAAACCTCTTCTCAGCATGCCTAGCAAGGCGATGTTGAATAATCCTTGCCAGGACCTTTCCTGGCACACTGAGGAGTTAGATGCCCCTGTAGTTGTTACAGTCTGTGTGGTCCCCCTTCTTAAAGAGGGGGACCACCAGGGCATCCTTCCAATCCTGCGGAACCCATCCAGTGGTCCAGACTGTTGTTATTATGTCATGTAGGGCAGTCTGTGCACAAACGCCACCCTCCCTCAGCAATTCGCTTGGGAGATCATCTCTGCCTGGTGCCTTTCCTGGTCTTAGACTATGGATTGCCTTCAGTATTTTCTGAACAGATGGAATCTCAGCCAGCCACTCAGAGGGGGGTGACTTCTTCTTCCAATAATGGAGGCACCGCAGCCTCAGCAGGGTCATCCCTACTGTGTCCTACGTTGTTTTCCAGGCTGAGGAATTTCCCCTCCCCCAGGACCGCACAGAAATGCTCAGCAAATCTACAAACCTGTTCCCTGGGGGTCGGAGATTGGATCACCATTCTTTCCCCTAATGATGGTAATAGGTATGGTGCTACAGATTACTTTTTTATGGAGTTAAAGAGCGATTTGTGATCGCGGGCCATTGAGGCAGATTCCATCTCCTCAGAAACCTACGACCACCACCTCTCCTTGCAGCGCCTCACGGCTCTCTGAACCTCTGAGCGAAGGCTGCGGTATGCCTCCTCATTCTCTGACGTGGGATGCTGTAGCCGATGAGAGTGGGTCTGTCGCTTTTTCTCAGCCAGCCTGAACACCTCCTGTGTCAGCCAGGGTCACTAGGGAGGTCTGGACCGTGTACCCAAAGCAGCCATTGCAGCTACATGAGCCACAATCCTAAATATCGCCCATTTCCCCTCGCCATCTGGAGGAGTGGGGGACGATGCCAACCCCAGCTACAAGCGATGATGAAATTCACGCTTGCAACTTTCATCAGCTGGCTGAGACCATGCCAATATGGGTTTGAATGGGGTCCTGGGTTTACACCCACCACCGGAGTGGAAGAATGGCAGGCGCATCTTACAGATGACAAGTCGATGGTCAGTGGGCAGATCAGCTCCACGGTAGGTCCTGGTGTCAAGGACATGGGCCCGCATCCGCTGTTCCGTCACTATGTAGTCCAGCAGATGTTCTCGCTTAGACCCGGCATGCATCCATGATGTTGTGTGGATGTGCTGATGCCAGAACAACGTGTTGGTAATTACAAGCCCATGGACTGCACAAAAATCGAGCAGCCTCCTGCCGTTATTGAGCTGATCTGGCCCATGCCTTCCAATCACTCCAGACCAGGTGCCAGCATCATGACCAACGCGGGCATTGAAGTCACCCATCAAGATGATTCTATGCCGAGGGGCCACTTTAGCTCGCATCTGTGACAGGAGGTCATAGAAGGCATCTGACTCATCGGCTTTGCCTGCATCCCTCCACGTATGTTCGTCTTCAGTGGGGGCATAAGTAACCACGACCACCACTCCTCGCCTCTGGCTGATGGGAAGTCGAGCCCAAAGTAGCCTGGGGCTTACAGCTTCCCACACCTCACTGCCACGCTTCCACGCCCCTTTAATTCTTTTGTTCAGAAGAAGAGCCACTCCCTGTTGTTTCGCAGTCCCCTGCCCCGAGTGGAGGACTGTCCACCCCTCATGATGGCAGGAGCCAGAGCCGGTCCACCGGACCTCCTGAATACCACAGAGATCTAGGTGGTACCGGTCCAGCTCCTGACAGAGGAGTGGCAGCCTCTCCTCTGCAGTGAGCGTTCGAGCATTCCACGTGGCCACCCGTAGTGGTTTGTTGTTGTTTCTGGAGGAGCCCCGAGGGTAAGAATACAGTCTCCTGGCTCCACCAAATTGGGTTTGGCCAGGAGACGTCATAGACGCCTGTCCCCCCGGGGCCTCTGGCACAAGCTTATTAATTACATTTTTCAGTTGTGGTTTGGTGGTAATTAATTGAAGGTGGAGGGGTAACCAGCCCCTCGCACCCGTCCAGAGCCCCCATTTGGCCGCTATGGTGGTTACAAACGCCATGAGAGGAAAGGGCAATTTAAATTGGCCCTCCCCCCACGGCACTGCCCACCACAGCGTTTCCATCCAACACCAACGAAAATCATCAATTTGCCGGACTAACAAAAGGCCCTATATCAAAAGCACACTTTTCAAGTCCAGACCGACATATCACAGTTTAGGAGACGAGGCAATGCCATCTCCAGTTCAGGTATAATTCAACTCAGTTCCGGTACAGCAGCCTCTCGACTCTCTATGCTTTCATCCAATTAAAGACAGGGTTGTGATCACATTTGTGTACTATATACAGTGAGGGAAAAAAGTATTTGATCCCCTGCTGATTTGGTCTCCGGACTAAATAATGGCATTGTTCATACCTTTTGTTTCAGACGTGAATTCATATTTTACTTATGTTTAATGCAAAAATTAAGTTAGGTTAATTGCCCTCATTGAACGACCCTAAACCTAATATCTAAATGCCAACCGTGACAAAATAACCTTATTGCTGTGTTAAAAAAGAGGAAGGTTAATGTTCCGTTAATGTTACTCATTTTCAGAGATAAGTGAATGCGTTTTGTCATCAGGGGTGGAGGGGCCGGGTGGTACATGGAAATATTGGTCGCGAAAGCCTACGTGTCAAACTGGACTGCAATCGGACTTTTCTTCGATGTTGGCAAAAAAAATGCAAAACAGTGGGGCAAGTTGACACGCGCACACACCCAGACATACCTTACACACAGCACGCCTATTATTAATATGCAAACAATTAACACGAAAACCTGAAATGCCTACATGAAGCTAGAACATCGAGGGTTCATAAAACGCCCAGTTCGGTTGGCTACGTACGGTGCGATAGAAGTTCAGTAGGAGCGGATCAGAAACTGAATTTAGTTTTCAAAACTATGCACCTCTTACATTTAAAAAAAAAGTATTAATGTTAGATTCGTATTTTGCGATTGAATTGCATTTACTTTTTGTTGCTTTGAAAGATAATTGGCGTTGGAGACCTCTTAGTCGTCGGTCTTATCATGTAGACTGTAGCACGCCATGTACGTGTGTATCGTACTTGTAGACTAGGACACGGTTTATGTTTGTACTGCATTGTAGACTATATTGTATGTACTTTATTGTAGACGTGGACACAGCGCGAGTGTAATATATGTTGCACACTCGAAATGAAGGAACGTGTGCAAGTGTTCCAGCCGCGTTCGGCAAGGTTTTCCTGTACACAGCTCAAGGCAACCTGCTGGCAATTATAGTGAGCACACGAGTAGCACTCATGGTTGAAAACCCCCTGCACTGCGGAAGCCCAGGCTTTAGATTTGTTCAGGTGGCGCCTGCGATAGGGTGAGTGAGTGGCGAGGTGTTCAACCCCATCGTGCCATGCAGTGCTTGTGTTGCGCCATAACAAGGCGCTGTAAGTCGCTTTACCTGTCACCACGGTCACGGGGTAAAACCCCCCTCTCGGGTGGCCCATGACCGGAGGTTGACACCCCAGACCCCCAAGGGCTGGGGGCTGGGGGGGGATAGAGACCGCCCACCGATTTTAAGACCCTTTAGGATTTAAGGCCCTTTAAGGCTTTCCAGAAGGTTCTGGAGGGGGGTTCATTAGGGGAGGGGTAAGCCCCAACCTGGGGATAAAAAGCCGACCCTCTGAAGGGGTCCGGCAGTGTTCACCAACTCAAGCCTGAAGACGTCCAAGACCTGAAGCCTGGACCTGCACCCGGGGACCCTCAACTGAGGCACTTGTCAGATCCGGGTTGTAGCGGACCAGTGGTGGGACCCTACCCTGGCAGAGTCGGGTCGGTACTGAAGCCAACCAGCTTCAACTCAGCTCCACTCGGTTTGCCACAAGACTCTGCCACAAGACTCTGACACTGCGTCCACATAGTACAGGGTGGTCTCGGTATCAATTGACCCCCATTGAACTAAAACGTACTGTTTTTGTATACTAATAGGGGTGAAAACAGAATTGAATAAGCAAAGGAAACAAATGCTACTTGGAGCTCACAAGGCATCTGGACCACCCTATGTAATGATTCAAATAGAATGCTGGGAAATGTTAAGACAGTGAGCATTTGGAATTGCCAAATGGCAGCTAATTATATATATTTTTAAATATGAGCCTAAAGTCAAAAGCATGGTAATTATTTTTTCATAGTACGGTTTTAAATAAAAAGACTTGTACAAATCATCTCAACAGCAACCATTTATTATGCAAATACTGTACCATGTATCTCAACAGAAATCAACCGCACCAAATCACCATATGTGATACAGTAACAAAACCTCGTGTCCCAAATTTCAATGATGGATTATTAAACATATATATCCAGAGCAAGCCATTTGTTTTGAATGCACTGAAAACAAACACATCCATGAAACCAAGGTAAAAAAAATCTAGCTTAAATCAATTTACACAAGTGAAAACTACAACTTTCATTTGGGATGCTGTTTGCATAAATGACACTGTATAAGGTCAAACATATTTAATTGTGATTATAAGTTGCATTATTCTCTGGGCTTTCGCTGGTGGCACACGCTTAAGTGTTTACTGTTGCTCCACGTGGTTAATTTTGTGTTTACCTCTATATCCTTGATTGTGTTCGTGTTATGTTTCTGTTGTGTTCACCTCCATACCCGTGACAGTGTTTGTGTTGTCTCTGTGGTGTTCTCTCCGGTTCGTGTTGATCATGTAGTTTGGTTTCTCTACGATTGTTTCCCATCTTCACTGCCGATCCATGTCAGGCCAGCTTACAGCACCGCGCCGATGTCCAGTCGATCCCACGGCACTGGCAGTGACACGTGCTGTCGTTTGGGATGTCCCACGAACCACACGCGCTTCCACATGAACACGACAATGCTATGTGCCCTGCAGTGAGACAATGATAGATGCGATCACAGTGCACATTATGGGGTGATGCCATCGGAGATGACGTCATGAACATTGAATTGAAAACCCTCTTCAGAATAACCAGGATATTGTGCATTGAAACTTTGTTTTTCTGAAAAGAGACATGTGCACAACAGGAAGTGCTTACAATGATAGTAAAATGTTTGGTGTGTTTAAAATGTAAGGACACTATTGTTAAAGACAATCATAACCAATCACGTAAAATTGTGGAAATGTATTATCATCGATAGTTCCATTTCTCACAAAACTAGGGGACTGTGAGGATCACCTGGTAACCATGGAGACACAATTGACAGTAAGTTTCACCTTACGAAGAGCCTTAAAACCCAACACATAATCCCTTAACATTTACATGTTTTTCCACGGAAAATAGCCTACATAAATTCCCCAAATAAATTCCTGCTGATTGAATCAAACCATCGCCTGTGTGCAGAGTCGATGTGTCACAAGGTCACTTGCCGCGCGGATATTCAACCACGTGATGTTGCACAGAGTCCCCCCCCCCCCACACACATCCCTCTCACCTGTGGGGCAACTCGTGGTGGCACCTCTGCTGGAGACGTTAGTACAAGAGATGCGGTTTGTTGCGGCCGGAGTTCCAGGATTCCCAGGGGGTCCAGGAGGACCAGTGTTGCCTGGTTCCCCTCTCAGGCCGTTGTTACCAGGGGGACCAGCTGGTCCAGGAGGCCCAGCGCTCCCAGCTGGGCCAGGTGAGCCAGCTGGGCCCAGTGGTCCAGCAGGACCGATACTGCCCGAGTTGCCTGGCACACCTACAATCAGGACACACCGCCATTGTCTGGGTTTAAGTGACCATAGTTTTCAAAGGTAACGGGCCATGATAAAAATAGCAGTCGGCGGTGCGCCCTTGGGAAAGATTTCCATTTTAATGTCCACTTTGCAGTAGATAGCGCACCTTGGATTAAAAATATCCTTGCCGGTTGAAGAAATAAAGTCATTGTGTTTGTACAAACCTGGCAGGCACACGAACTGCAAGCATATGCTAGCAAATTGCAATTATAGATTATTTCACAGTTGCGTTCAAATGAGCCTATTTAGTTAAAATAAATAGCGTTTGTTGGCAAACGTTTCGAGCACGTGTTCTCACTAGAACAAATAACCCGCGATGAATTACCTTGCGGTCCGGCACATCCATCCTTTCCAGGAGGGCCTCGTGGGCCTCGAGTTCCAAAACAAATGCTGCGAGCACACACAGGTGGAGAAGTGAGAGGGCAATTACGGTATTCCCTTCGTCAATGTAATGGACACCATTAGTCTTCAACAAGGGGTGCCCACGGTGGAGAGATGTTAACTACCTCGCCTGGTATACATGGAGGTCGTGGTGTCAATCCCGACCCTGACACCTGCTTATATGTTTGGAGATTGCATGTTTCTCTCTGTGATCGCGTGGGTTTCTCTCCGGTTCCTCATTTAGAAATATCCGTTTATCCAAGTATTCAGCTGCTATTCATTTCCACATGATAAGTCATTTCCACATGATAAGTCATTTCCACGTGATAAGTCATTATTTGTGGCCATGTCACTTATGAAAGAGAGCTATATAGCTCAGGGGGCCTTACCTGGTAAAATAAAAAAAAAGTTTTTCAAGTGTATCTTAAAAATGCTGGATTAACCTTTCCCCCCCTCTCGGTATTTAATCATAATTGGGGACATTCAGGATACATTTGAATTTTGTAGAATAAAATTGGTGAGATTTGTATTTTTTTTCAAGGATGTTTGCTGTGATTGAAGTAAAAATGTCGGAAACCTTAAAACTGCAGAATTTTTGCTATGAATGTACTCATGTGCTGTGTTTAACATTGAACCTTGACATAAGTAACACGTTTTCCATCTACAATGTGTAACATACGTTAAAAGTAACGTTTTTATATATTTTACACAATAAAATAAAATACAGCAATGGCAGTTGTTCAATTATTCTTCAACAACATATTTTCTTTCTCTTCCAAGTGAGAGTTGTTTACATTAACTTGGTTACAGCTCATTACAATTAATATTGAAAAGGTAGTAACAGTTGAACCATAAGTTACAACCCAAACTTTGGTTTGCATCTAAGTTATCGTCCTGTCATTGAAAACATTAGCAGAGTTGAACTGAATCGAAAACAGTGTTTCACTTTTCGGAGTCTCATTACCTGCAGCTGTTGGGCAGAAGCTCTTCCAGTTCACTCTGTTCACACAATAAATACAAACATTACACATTGTGAAGTTACGTGAATAGTCAATAATCGCGTAATATCTTCAAACAATGTGCATATTTAAAATATTCACCGTGGCCTCTTCGTTGATGGAAACGTCGCTTTCCAAGGGACCGGCATGTGTCGGTCGAAAGATTAAGAGGCAGACTGCAAGACTGCACAATACCTTCTTCATGTTGGCAATGATTTGGGACAGAAACCCCACGATGAATGTAACTCTTCAATCTGGGTGCAGGTATTTAAAGGGACAGCATTGGCAAACAAACAATCATTGGAAAATGCCAATCGTTTTATTGCTCAGCAGCATTTACAAACAATGTGCATGCCACTCCCTTAGAAGCAGGGGTTTGCGGTTTATCTCGAGGCGAAGGATATTACATAACAAAATCTTACCAAGGCCGCGGAGAGAAACTGAGTGACTACAACAAGTAAAATATATTCAATGTTTCTACAAAATCTTTGAAGACATGCACACTAGCATGTTCAGCTACGCGTGCAGAAAAGGGTCCCCATTGTCAGGTGAAACCAAGTCATTCTTTTGTATGACAATTAAAAACGTACATTTTACCACTGGGGGCAAAAAAGAATTGCACCGAGTTTGGACGATCTTTGTGCTGTCAAGGATTATGGAGAAAGGACGCCACAAATATGCCCGACTGTGAGGGGGGGCACAAGCTGGCGTGAGTAGGTGAAACGTTGAGTTTTACAAGGGTACCACGGGGTGATCAGCCCCTTTCCACCCAGCCCCACCCTCCCACCCCCCACCCAGCCCCACGCTATCCACCCTCCCCACCCAGCTGTCTGATTCTTAATTGGCCTGTCCGCTCTCTATTCTCCCTTTCTCGCCGCATTTCACCCCTTTGTCTTACCTCTCTTCCTTGTGCTTACGGTCCGACCTCGCAGTGTTGGAGTTCGCGGAAAGATGATACTGTAAACGGAATCTGGCTGTTCTCTGACCCGTCTCACGGACGTGCGAGTAACAGCGAAATGACGGCTCCTCGATCCCTCTCTGCAGTTGATCCCTAGCGAAAACGACCCCGTGCTTCCATAATCGTCCCTTTTTATGCTCGACTTCAAAGCCTCCGCGCCGCCGTCCCGTTGGCCTCTCATCCAATCCGATCACCCTTCTCTCTGACGCTCCGCCCCCCCCCATTGTTTAACCAAGTGCACCGACTCAAATAAGCGAGCCGGTGCCGCATCATCGCCGTTAATCTGTGGTGCATCACGGGTAGAGACGTTAATCCGCGGTGCATCACGGGTAGAGACGTTAATCCGTGGTGCATCATGGGTAGAGACGTTAATCCGTGGTGCATCACGGGTAGAGACGCTAATCCGCGGTGCACCACGGGTAGAGACGTTTAACCCACGCTGCCCCGCTCCTCACCTGCCTGCTGTTCCGTGTGTGTCTTGGGCCTTTCCTCACTGCGGTTCTCAGTGAGTTCGCCGTGGTCATTTACTTTTATGTTAAGCCACGGCGCCGCAGTGCCATTTTGCCTGGGGGGGGGGCTGCCAATTCCCTGACCCTGAGAAACCATGGAGCACCCCCACGAGGGGGCCTCTCGGGTAAAAACTCAGGGCAGGTGCCCCCCCTCCCCACGAGGCCCGACGTGAGTGTGTGTGTGTTTATGTGGGGGGGGGGGGGTGGCGAGGAGAGCGCTGTGACGGGAGCCGGGTGGCTTCTCGGTCGCAGCAGCACAGTGACGGCCCCGGTTTCGACGGAGCGGCTTCGCTGTTGTGTCACCACATAGCCCTCCGAGGTGCCAGTCCCCGTCCCGGGTTGACTGGAGCACCTCGCCAGGGTTGCTCCCACGAGGTAGCATCGTGGGGTCCGTGGTACTCGTCCAGTCGTTGTGGCCGGCCTTGGGGGTGGTGGCTCCGTCTCCCGGAGTTCCGGCGGCGGTCTCCTCCTCCACTCCAACGGGTCGCCTCGGTCCTTGGCACCTGCGGGCTGGGGAACAAACTCAGAGGCGGTAGGGTTTAAGGGCCGTCGTCCCCGTCCCCCCCGGCCTGGGTCGGGGCCCCTCGGGGCCCGGGGCCCTGTGGAGCCCATATACCGCGCGAGGCCCCCGAGTATGGGGGGCGTGGGGACCCCGGGATTTTGGGGTACTTGAACGGTGGGGTCCCCCCCCGCTGGAGCTGCTCTCCATGGTTTTAGTCGGCGGACGTTGACCACCATCTCCCGGCCCTTCTCCCCTGAATCAGCACCGTCCAGGGGGAGATCTGTCGTCCCACGGTCCAGGGTCCCCTCCAGTAGGTGGTCAATTTTCCGACCTGCCCAGCCCCGACACGAGCAGTGTGCAGCCACACTTTCCAGCCGCCGAGTAGAAGAGGGGCTCCATATGGGGTCGGGCGCTCTGCTCTTGCTGCTGGTGTGTGGCCTCTCCTTGTGGGTAGGCTCGGCTCCGGGCCCCTCGCAGAGTCTCCATCAGGTGTTCCATGGGCGGCTCCCCTCCTCCCGTTGCGGTGGGAGAACGCCGAACAACAGATCTGCGGGGAGGCGAAACTCACGGCCAAACATCATTAGGAATGGGGTCTGTCCCGTAGACGTGTGTACCGTGGTGGCATAGGCGAACAAGGCATAGGGGAGGTGTTCGTCCCAGTCATGTTGATTTGTGGCCGCCATGCTTTTGAGCTTCCCGGCTAGAGTCTGGTTCATTCACTCCACCATACCGTTCGCCTGGGGGTGGTATGCCGTGGTTCGGTCCTTCTGGATTCCGAACTCGCGGCACAGCGCCTGGAATAGCTCCACCTCGAACTCACTACCCTGGTCAGTAATGACTCGTTCGGGGATCCCATGTTTAAGCACGTAGTGTTCCACGAATGCCTAGGCGACCACCAGGGCCGTTTTATCTGGGATGGCCACCGCCACAGGGTAGCGCGTGAAATACTCCACCACCACGAGGATATACCGGTTGCCTCGGTGGGATCGTGGGAATGGTCCCTGTAGGTCGATCCCCACCAGCTGGTTCGTCCGACTGACACAGAACGGCCTCAGGGGTACCTGGTACCGCGCTGGTTTCTGCCCACACTGCTGACAGGCCCGGCAGCCCTGCACCCAGACGGCCACATCTTGCGCCAATTTAGGCCAGAGATACTGGCGACGCAGAGTCTCCCGAGTGCGTCGTTCCCCATCATGGCCCCCCGAGCAGGTGGTCGTGCACCAGCCGTAGCAACTGGGGCCGCACCTGGGCGGGGACACAGATGCACCCCGGCTGCCCAGCTTCGGTTTGTTCCCTCACCACTCCGTTCTCTACACACAACCGGGCATACAAACCGCTCCAGGGCCCCGGAAGGGTGACCTTTTTCTCGCGCAGGGCCGTCTCCACCGCCGCCAGGTCCGGATCCCGCTGCGGGGAAGTTGAATGATTTCATTCGAAGATGAGTGACAGTAAGTTAGAGACAAGTTCACTTAACCTCCCCTTGGAGTTTCGTTTACAACCATTTCACCCGAGAGTGTCTCATCTCGGCAAGATAAGCAGTGTTGAGCCTGGTTACCACGTGGATGGGAGACTGCCTGGGAATATCAGGTGCTATAGGCTTTTTGCATCTGAAGTGGGCGCTTATTTACGCCATGTTTCCAACTCAAACAGCGGAACTGGCTTTTTAATCTCCATGGGGGGCACTGCCTACTCAGGATAAACCTGTTCACTTTTTCAAAGCCCATTGTCAATCCACTGTTGGATGATTTTCCCCACCCCCAAAATAGTTCCCAGCAAATAAATTGTTTTACCAGACGTCACTACGTGGATCAATGCAGGTGGGTGGAAGGGAGGCCACATCCACGGCCAGGAATCAAACTCTGGTGACACTGGGTCCGTAGCTCAGTGCGTGGTGCTCGGACGCTCCCTTGGCGACGTGGTTAGCGAACTGCCCTTGCAGTAGCCTCGTCTCGGTGGGATCTGTGCGAGGTTAAAAATGAAGTGCCTGGACTGAAGAGGGCCCTGTTTCGCCACCTGGGCTTCAGTAGCATCGTGTTTTGTGTTGTGTTTCTATTATTACATAATCAGCAGCGGAAACCTTGGTCAATCCACTGCTGGATGAAGGCCTCCCAACGCCACTGCATTGTACATCGTGGCTATGTAATGTACCATAAAACCGTAAGCCAACAAAATATGGTGAATTTCAATTCTGAATCCCAGGTATTAGGATTACATTAACCTGAAATCCCGATCTCGTTAGATCTCGATAGCCAAGCAGACTCGAGCCTGGTTATTACCTGGTTGGTGGCCATCTGGGAATACCAGGTGTTTTATTTTATTTTCGTGGTTTGAACGGGGCGCTATTTACCGCACATTTCACACGCATGGAGCCAAACTGGCATTTTCATGTCTGTAGGGAGCACTGCCACACGCGTTTAAACTCTTTACTTGAAATTCAGAATTCAAATGAGCCACGTTATATTGGCCAACAGTTGTATTTTACATTGGATATTCACGAGGCATAACAGTGGCTTGGAGATGCTTTCATCCAGCAGTGAATTGACCAAGGTGGCTGCTGATTATGTAAAAAAAGGCCCTATACCAAAAACAGACTTTTCAAGTCCAGAATGACAGCACAGTTTAGGTGAAGAAGCAATGCCATCTCCAGTTAACGTATAGCAGCCTCTCAACTCTCTACGCTTTCATCCAATTAAAGGCAGGGTTGTGATCATATTTGTGTACCGTATGCATTTATTAAACCCAAGTTTTACACGCATATAGTGGACCTGGAATTGCCATGGATGTAGGAGGCAGTGATTACTCGGGTTGAGCCTTTATGGATTCTAGAATCAGAATTCAGCAGATATTTTTTCATTTGGCACACTACGTTAGACATAATTTTGACTGTTCAGAAAAGTGGGATTTTGGTCAGGACATGTGACGATAATTGATGATTTACAGTTTTATTATTTTAAACAAGTGACAGAACCGACCGAGATAACTTTCATTTGTAAGATAATTCTGAGGTTAAAAGTGAAAGAAAAAAAAAGCTATATAAAAAATGGATGGTGACTGTCTAAAGTGCATTTGTCTTCGGAAGTATGTAACCCTAATATAAAGTAATGAAAGTTAAATGGAGAGAATTCATATCATATGCCCATCAATCATCGCTGTAAAGCATTAATATAGATACAGTGCGTGCAAGACTGCTAGACATCCTTTGGAGATTGATGGACTTGTAAGACTTGGGCGTTATCATTTAAATAAACACTTGTCACTCAAGAATGACAGGTTCTTAACAGGTTGTGTGACTACACACAAACATTCAATAACATACGTGATGTATTATATATGTAGTGGTTGACTTCACACGGACGACTTCTTCTTTTCTCCAACGCCACTTTTATTACGAAACTTCACATTCAACACCCGTGACTTCAACGTGTTTCTCGCTCTCCCTGTCTCTCGCTGACTCTCTGTCTCTCTCCGTCGCTGTCTCACTCTGTATCTCTGTCTTACTCTGTATCTCTGTCTCACTCGCTTGTCTCTCACGATCTCTCTCTTGTCTCTATCTCGTCTCTGTCTCTCCCTGTCTCTGTCTCTCTCCGTCTCTCCTTGTCTCTGTCTCTCTCCATCTCTCCTTGTCTCTCCCTGTCTCTGCCTTGTCTCTGTCTCTCTTCTTGTTCCCTGTTCCACTGCTAGCCCTGTTATGTCTCTCATGTCTTCTCTCTCTCTCTCTCTTGCCGATTCTCCGTCTTCTTCCAACCTGCTCCGTTCCAGTCCCCAGCGACAATTCAACTCCCTGCTCTCTCGTCCCCGAATATATCCCCGTCCTCGTTAACTATCAATGAATTAAGCGGCGTCCCCATCTCCCGACAATGCGGCGCCACTTTGCCCCTGACAACAACAACAACCGGCCAATCACCGCCATGCATCTCATACCAACTTATTGGGCCCGTCTCCCTTTTGCCGTTCCCCCCACGCCGCACCTGTTCGGCCCTACACGACCCCACTGTCCATAACTCGCGCGTCTTTACAGTCCTCCCTGTATGCGCGTGTTAATCCACTACATCTACACGAACAGTTGTGTTCACGTGTGAATTGAATGCTACATGGAGGTGCAGAACACGTTTATTTTAGGGTGATATTTATTTCATAGCATTTTATCTTGGTTTTATACATCGTTAACACATTGCCGACTGATGGAGAAATATTTAAAATCGCATTTGTGTACAGTATTAATGATCAG